TCTAAAAGTATAGAACACAAGCAATGTCTTCACTCAGCCAGTCACTTCTAAAAGTATAGAACACAAGCAATGTCTTCACTAAGCCAGTCACTTCTAAAAGTATAGAACACAAGCAATGTCTTCACTCAGCTCGTCACTTCTAAAAGTATAGAACACAAGCAATGTCTTCACTCAGCCAGTCACTTCTAAAAGTATAGAACACAAGCAATGTCTTCACTCAGCCAGTCACTTCTAAAAGTATAGAACACAAGCAATATCCTCACTCAGCCAGTCACTTCTAAAAGTATAGAACACAAGCAATGTCTTCACTCAGCCAGTCACTTCTAAAAGTATAGAACACAAGCAATGTCTTCACTCAGCCAGTCACTTCTAAAAGTATAGAACACAAGCAATGTCTTCACTCAGCCAGTCACTTCTAAAAGTATAGAACACAAGCAATGTCTTCACTCAGCCAGTCACTTCTCAAAGTATAGAACACAAGCAATGTCTTCACTCAGCCAGTCACTTCTAAAAGTATAGAACACAAGCAATGTCTTCACTCAGCTCGTCACTTCTCAAAGTATAGAACACAAGCAATGTCTTCACTCAGCCAGTCACTTCTCAAAGTATAGAACACAAGCAATGTCTTCACTCAGCTCGTCACTTCTCAAAGTATAGAACACAAGCAATGTCTTCACTCAGCCAGTCACTTCTTAAAGTATAGAACACAAGCAATGTCTTCACTCAGCCAGTCACTTCTCAAAGTATAGAACACAAGCAATGTCTTCACTCAGCCAGTCACTTCTCAAAGTATAGAACACAAGCAATGTCTTCACTCAGCTCGTCACTTCTTAAAGTATAGAACACAAGCAATGTCTTCACTCAGCCAGTCACTTCTAAAAGTATAGAACACAAGCAATGTCTTCACTCAGCCAGTCACTTCTAAAAGTATAGAACACAAGCAATGTCTTCACTCAGCCAGTCACTTCTAAAAGTATAGAACACAAGCAATGTCTTCACTCAGCCAGTCACTTCTAAAAGTATAGAACACAAGCAATGTCTTCACTCAGCCAGTCACTTCTAAAAGTATAGAACACAAGCAATGTCTTCACTCAGCCAGTCACTTCTTAAAGTATAGAACACAAGCAATGACTTCACTCAGCTCGTCACTTCTTAAAGTATAGAACACAAGCAATGTCTTCACTCAGCCAGTCGCTTCTTAAAGTATAGAACACAAGCAATGACTTCACTCAGCTCGTCACTTCTTAAAGTATAGAACACAAGCAATGTCTTCACTCAGCCAGTCGCTTCTTAAAGTATAGAACACAAGCAATGACTTCACTCAGCTCGTCACTTCTTAAAGTATAGAACACAAGCAATGTCTTCACTCAGCCAGTCACTTCTCAAAGTATAGAACACAAGCAATGTCTTCACTCAGCCAGTCACTTCTAAAAGTATAGAACACAAGCAATGTCTTCACTCAGCCAGTCACTTCTAAAAGTATAGAACACAAGCAATGTCTTCACTCAGCCAGTCACTTCTCAAAGTATAGAACACAAGCAATGTCTTCACTCAGCCAGTCACTTCTAAAAGTATAGAACACAAGCAATGTCTTCACTCAGCCAGTCACTTCTCAAAGTATAGAACACAAGCAATGTCTTCACTCAGCCAGTCACTTCTCAAAGTATAGAACACAAGCAATGTCTTCACTCAGCCAGTCACTTCTAAAAGTATAGAACACAAGCAATGACTTCACTCAGCCAGTCACTTCTAAAAGTATAGAACACAAGCAATGTCTTCACTCAGCCAGTCACTTCTAAAAGTATAGAACACAAGCAATGTCTTCACTCAGCCAGTCACTTCTCACTTCTCAAAGTATAGAACACAAGCAATGTCTTCACTCAGCCAGTCACTTCTTAAAGTATAGAACACAAGCAATGTCTTCACTCAGCCAGTCACTTCTAAAAGTATAGAACACAAGCAATGTCTTCACTCAGCCAGTCACTTCTAAAAGTATAGAACACAAGCAATGTCTTCACTCAGCCAGTCACTTCTAAAAGTATAGAACACAAGCAATGTCTTCACTCAGCCAGTCACTTCTAAAAGTATAGAACACAAGCAATGTCTTCACTCAGCCAGTCACTTCTAAAAGTATAGAACACAAGCAATGTCTTCACTCAGCCAGTCACTTCTAAAAGTATAGAACACAAGCAATGTCTTCACTCAGCCAGTCACTTCTCACTTCTCAAAGTATAGAACACAAGCAATGTCTTCACTCAGCCAGTCACTTCTCAAAGTATAGAACACAAGCAATGTCTTCACTCAGCCAGTCACTTCTTAAAGTATAGAACACAAGCAATGTCTTCACTCAGCCAGTCACTTCTAAAAGTATAGAACACAAGCAATGTCTTCACTCAGCCAGTCACTTCTAAAAGTATAGAACACAAGCAATGTCTTCACTCAGCCAGTCACTTCTAAAAGTATAGAACACAAGCAATGTCTTCACTCAGCCAGTCACTTCTCACTTCTCAAAGTATAGAACACAAGCAATGTCTTCACTCAGCCAGTCACTTCTCAAAGTATAGAACACAAGCAATGTCTTCACTCAGCCAGTCACTTCTAAAAGTATAGAACACAAGCAATGTCTTCACTCAGCCAGTCACTTCTAAAAGTATAGAACACAAGCAATGTCTTCACTCAGCCAGTCACTTCTAAAAGTATAGAACACAAGCAATGTCTTCACTCAGCCAGTCACTTCTCAAAGTATAGAACACAAGCAATGTCTTCACTCAGCCAGTCACTTCTAAAAGTATAGAACACAAGCAATGTCTTCACTCAGCTCGTCACTTCTCAAAGTATAGAACACAAGCAATGTCTTCACTCAGCCAGTCACTTCTCAAAGTATAGAACACAAGCAATGTCTTCACTCAGCTCGTCACTTCTCAAAGTATAGAACACAAGCAATGTCTTCACTCAGCCAGTCACTTCTTAAAGTATAGAACACAAGCAATGTCTTCACTCAGCCAGTCACTTCTCAAAGTATAGAACACAAGCAATGTCTTCACTCAGCCAGTCACTTCTCAAAGTATAGAACACAAGCAATGTCTTCACTCAGCTCGTCACTTCTTAAAGTATAGAACACAAGCAATGTCTTCACTCAGCCAGTCACTTCTAAAAGTATAGAACACAAGCAATGTCTTCACTCAGCCAGTCACTTCTTAAAGTATAGAACACAAGCAATGACTTCACTCAGCTCGTCACTTCTCAAAGTATAGAACACAAGCAATGTCTTCACTCAGCTCGTCACTTCTTAAAGTATAGAACACAAGCAATGTCTTCACTCAGCCAGTCACTTCTAAAAGTATAGAACACAAGCAATGTCTTCACTCAGCCAGTCACTTCTTAAAGTATAGAACACAAGCAATGACTTCACTCAGCTCGTCACTTCTTAAAGTATAGAACACAAGCAATGTCTTCACTCAGCCAGTCGCTTCTTAAAGTATAGAACACAAGCAATGACTTCACTCAGCTCGTCACTTCTTAAAGTATAGAACACAAGCAATGTCTTCACTCAGCCAGTCGCTTCTTAAAGTATAGAACACAAGCAATGACTTCACTCAGCTCGTCACTTCTTAAAGTATAGAACACAAGCAATGTCTTCACTCAGCCAGTCACTTCTAAAAGTATAGAACACAAGCAATGTCTTCACTCAGCCAGTCACTTCTCAAAGTATAGAACACAAGCAATGTCTTCACTCAGCCAGTCACTTCTCAAAGTATAGAACACAAGCAATGTCTTCACTCAGCCAGTCACTTCTAAAAGTATAGAACACAAGCAATGTCTTCACTCAGCCAGTTACTTCTAAAAGTATAGAACACAAGCAATGTCTTCACTCAGCCAGTTACTTCTAAAAGTATAGAACACAAGCAATGTCTTCACTCAGCCAGTCACTTCTAAAAGTATAGAACACAAGCAATGTCTTCACTCAGCCAGTCACTTCTTAAAGTATAGAACACAAGCAATGTCTTCACTCAGCCAGTCACTTCTAAAAGTATAGAACACAAGCAATGTCTTCACTCAGCCAGTCACTTCTAAAAGTATAGAACACAAGCAATGTCTTCACTCAGCTCATCACTTCTCAAAGTATTGAACACAAGCAATGTCTTCACTCAGCCAGTCGCTTCTCAAAGTATTGAACACAAGCAATGACTTCACTCAGCTCATCACTTCTTAAAGTATAGAACACAAGCAATGTCTTCACTCCAGGAATTATAGTTAAAACTTCCCAGAAAAAAGGTCACCCCATTGATCAGGGCTATTCAACTAGCGGCAGTATGACTAAATCTGGCCCTCGAAGGCCTGAAGGTGGCTCACTGATCACCTGCCAGTTGTATTGTATAAACTATCTTTCTATGCTGTGACTGGAAATCTGGCCTGTGATGATTCAAATTTTGGCCCCTGAGGACACTTAGTTGAATAGCCCTGCCATAGAGGCTTCATCCTTTTGCCAACAAAACCACAAAGAATGTCCATAGCTGTTTCTTCTGATACAGACTGCAGTCTCCACAAAGCCAATAGCATCCAAATGCATTACATAAGGCAGCCATCAGACGTGCCAACACAGTCCAGCATTAGAAATGCAGTTCACTGTCAATGGAAGTAGCCTTTACAAGAGATCAGTGGCTGCACATGCAATAATTTGCATAAAGCATCAGCAGTTCTATGACAACAGGTCACTTGCTGTTTTCAGAATCTGCAGTTCACAGCATAAAACATGCTAGGCTCAGTCGGAAAGCATTTAAAATATAATTCGCAGCTCACACTCAACTCAGTAGCTGGGCGACAGATTTATATCCTTTTAATTTACATATGGAGAACAATGCAATGGTTAACTATTGTCAGAAGAAAAGTAAACATGCCTATCCACCATATTGACTGTAAGCAACAAATAAAAAGAAAACAAAACAACAATCACAATATTTAAGGACTGATGACTACATCATGGACACCAATAAACATACCTGCAGTGGGTAGGACTCGGATGCTGGTGGAGACTGTGTAATTTGAAAATATTCCTAAGGGATAGTTAATGGCTGAGCAGCTGTAGTTGGCTGACTGGCTGACAATGATTCGCAAAGTTGAAGACATGGTCACTGCTGTTGTATTGTGCTCTGTCTGGATCTCTAATGGATCACTTTGATTTTTGAGAATCTGTGAGATAAAAAAAAAACAAAAAAAAAAAAAAAACAGGTAGAACAATGTCTAAATTGTATTTAAAGGCAAGAGGAGTGGTTTAATTTGAGTTAAATTCCAGAGCACTGACTTCAGTGTGCTGGGTTTTATCCCTATCTACAGAATGAAAAACCACCTGCCAAAACCGTCACACAAACCATAAACACCATAGTTCCGGTGATGATCCCCAGGGATCTGCATGTAAACTATACAGCAAAGAAAAGAATCCATGACATTTCAGAGGGTGAGGCAAACGGCTTGACCACTTCGTTAAAGAGACTACCCTATTTGCATTATTGAATGAAACAAATGCAAAAACGGACACAGTGTAACAGAAAGTCTTAATTTAAAAAAAGAAATGGACCTTCAAAAATGCAACATAAAAGTAAATAAGGAAATCCTTAAAACAGCGATAAATTTCAGTTTCTGTGTACCTTGATAACAGCAGATGGAAGATGTATTAAAGAAGTTACATGTATAATAGCTCAAGCAAAGGCAACATTTTAAAAAACTAAGAATATTCTAGGCAATCTTTCTGTGTCACCTGAGACAAGCAAGAGAGTCCTCAAGAGCCTTATAAACGCTATCCTGATTTGTGGTTTGATTTTGACGGCGTCTGAAAAAAAATATTTGGAAGAAGTGGGGTAATGGTTTTATAGACAAATTAATTATGAAAATACCATGGATAAATCAAAAGAGTAATGAAGATGTTTTGAAAGAAACTGACTCACAAACAGATAATATACATTCTTTGGAGATGCCATAAGGAGAACACTGGAGTACACTGCGATGGTGAGAAAGTTGGAGTTGAAAAGAGGCAGAGGAAGACTCAGAGAAGTTGCTGGACAGTCTGACATCATGGCATTGAAGATCATCTGTATCAGAACTGACTGACAATACATGGGACAGAAAGTTGTGGATAGACATGACTGCCAAAGCCACACAGCACAGATTACAAGAAGAAATTATTCACACAAGCAATAATTATGTTGCTTGAGACGCAATCACAAGCATTCAGGCTCTTTCAGCAGACATTACATTATGCCGATGCTACTGTGTGATTAGGCACACAACTGACAAAATTCAATAGTTTCCATGCAGTCCTTTATCATCACCCAAATCATCAATCAACCGTTGACTTCTTCTTCTTCAGCATTCTGAGCCCTTGAGGTTCATTGCTGCAGATATCACCCGCCTCAACTCACCTCTCTTGATGGCCTTCTCTTTCTAGTTGGTGACACAGAGTGTTTGCTGGTCTCTCTGGACATTATCTCTCCATCATCTTCTTGGTCTGCCATGTGGTCTATGACCATTCAACTTCCTTGTGTATACAGTTTTTACCTCTCTGTCATTTGACATTCTCTCAATATGCTCCAGCCATTTCAGTCTACTAGACTGTTTCAGTCTACTAGACTGTTTCAGTCTACTAGATTGTTGACTGGTCTATCCAAATACGAGACTAGCATTTTAAGCATCTTACGCGATTTGCCGTGGCGTAGCGACTAGACGCTTGTGTGCGGATCAGAAGGTTGTGGGTTCGCTCCCTGGCCCAGCCTGACTTTAAAAAAGAAAATGACCTTGACTCCCAGGTCGACCCAGCCTTGAGTGGAGACCAGGTGCAGTCCTGGGAAGTAAAGGTTGCCGGCACGATGCTTACCCTATCACCCATCTTGTGCCGATTGGTCTATAAAAAATATAGGTCTAGCCCCTATATGCCTTATACACCTAAAGACATGGAAAAGGGACCTTTACTTTTTTTTGTTTTTGTTACTGTGTTATCAGTAATGTCCATGACTTTAAAAAAAAAAAATTATGAATAGAATTAAAGGGGTATGAGACAAGATTCTGAGAGATGAACAAGCAGATTTTTGAGCTGGAAGAAGCTGCTTTTATCAAATATTCACTCTGTGATTTAATTTAGAGGAATTTGTTGAAAAACAACAATCTCTTAATTTAATTTTTACCAACTTTAAGAAGCTTTTGATAGCTTGCACCAACATCACTATGGGGAATTTTGGAATGCTAAAGTATAGCAACGAAAATAATAAATATTATTAAAGCAATGTATGAAGTGTTCAGTGTGCACAGTGCGAATAGATAATGTTTAAGTGACTGATTTGAAGTTGAAGCTGAAGTGAGACAGGGACAATGACTATGTGTTGGAAAGCTGTTGTGCTAGAAACACAGGCACTGACTGTGTTGTGCTAGAAACACAGGCACTGACTGTGTTGTGCTAGAAACACAGACACTGACTGTGTAGGGAACAGATGGTTGGATGATCTTGATTCAGCTGATGATATTGTTCTGCTAAGAATAACAATGACATGCACAGACAAATATATGATTGTGCAAAAAAAGCATCAAAGGCCTAAAAAAAATGTATGAAGACAAATATGTACACCAGAGACAAAGGGAATTAAACTAACAGATCAATTTACTTATTTAGATAGTAGTTTTGATAGTAAAGGAAATACAAAGTAAGAAATTATGATATACACTGTCAAGGGACAAGGAGCTTTTAAAAGCCTGAACAAAATACAGAGCTCAAAATTGTATAGTTTTAAAACCAAGGTATGCATTTCAGTTATAAAATTATTTCAGTTTTAACGTGCCAGTGAAAAGACATAGAACAAAAGTTAAATGCATTTGATAACAAATGCATGAGGAAAAAGACGAAAATAAAATGGGATGAATTCCAGAGGGATGGAGAAATCAGAGTAATGTCTGGGCAACCATTTGTTCAACAGTTAAAAGACGGAGCATTTGGCACTATACTGGACACATACTAAGAAGAAACAAGCACAGAATCCCCCAACAGGCATTAAAATGGGAAATAGAAAAACTGAGGTGAGGGTACCAAAATGAATGTTGTTGAGAGAGGCCAAAGGTTCTAGAGTGGATACCATCCATGATATTGAACTGATTCTACGGGACAGAATGGAATGGAGAAATATACTATGAGTATGAGTCCTATGTGACAAATAATGGCACAACAGGATAATAAATGAACTCTAATATCTTATGTATTATTAGCAAATAAAAAAAAAAATATATAAGGCATTTACTTTTCAATTGTAATCACCATCCTCTCCCTGTCCTGCTGTTATACATCAAATAGGGCTCGCAGTCTAGTCCTCTCTTCTGATCTATTTGGAGCATTTTTTTTGATGTTACAGATTCTGATTCCGTATGTGGGTTCCGGGGCCCGATTGTAGGGAAAACAAGAACAAATCTAATGCCTCCCCAACAAACATACTGTAAGAGCTTCCTTCAAAGTCAGAGTGCATCTGCCTGAGAGGCAAGGAACCAACAGTCTGCATAAAGATAAGCCCAGTCTGTAAAATGGACATGCATGCAACACTTAGGTTCAAGAGCAAGACCATGCTCCAAAAGTGGACAACAATCAAAACGTTCCACTGGAGTTTACAGTCAGTAAATGTGAACAAGAAGAAAAATAAGAAATTATGGATAGAATCCATTCCAGCAGCTCTGGCCACTTTCATCAATCTTCTTCCAAGTTCTCTTTTGGATGTTCTCATTTCTGTTTCTCCATTTCCAGGCTTTCTATTTAACTCTGATGATGATGATGATATGGACAAAAACGATAATGATGAACTGTGTACCACAAAGTGAACTACTTAATTAGGACGAGACAGAGAATTCATAAAAGCTACATAAATCCTATACTGAAATATATTTGTGAATCACAGACGGTTAGTAAATTAGTGAAAACTTATTTGGAAGCTGCAGAGATGTGGTTTTATAGGCGAATGATGAGAATACCCTGGACAGGTAAAAAGAGTAATGAAGATGTCTTGAAAGAAATTGGCTCACAAAGAGAACTGACTTCCCAAGTCAGAAAGAAGAAAATCTACATTCTTTGGTCATATTATGTGAAGGAAAAACTGGAGTACATCGTGACAGTAGGAAAGTTGGAGGGGAGGAGAGGCAGATGCAAACTGAGAGAACAGATGCTGGACAGTTTGACTCTCATGGCATAGAAAATCATCCGTGTCAGAGTTGATTGAATGTACACGAGACAGAAGGTTGTGGATAAACATGACTACCAACACGGACTCTAAGAAGAAGAACTAATTATTTTAAAAAAAAACATAGCCAAGACTAACCAGATTTCCATTGCGCCTCCACTCTACCACAGGTGGAGGAATCCCAGCAACCTTGCAGGAGAGGTGTATAACTGAGCCGACATACTCTTCTCGAGGTCTTGATAGCTGCACTTTATTTATAATCTCAGCTTTAGCTGAAGGGTAAATGTAAGAATGGTATTAGCAAAAACAAAATGAGGTTCACACCATAATAATATCAAGTATTTAAAAAAACAAATCATGATATTGAAAATTTAAATCAGGAAATATCCTAGGTAGCAAAGTGGCTAGTGTAAAATTAATCACACTATTTTGGTCAGGTGTATCTTGTAATCATCAGTTCACGTTGTGCCTAGTGGCACATGAGGCTTCAGAGAGGACTTTATTTTAATTTGCCAAAAGAAACGAAAACAGTTTTTGGGTTTGGATAGATCTGAAATTGTGTAAACCAATTTGTGAGTGATCCTAGCGACTGTATAGGTGTCTTCCTGTAATATGATGTAGATAAAATGATTGATGAGGCCTGACTATGATTCTAGATGCTATATGTGTCGCAGTGTGGTCCGGGTGTGGTTATCCATGTGTGGGAAGAGGGGTAGGAGGGGTCTGGAGCAGTGGATGGTGTCTGGTGTGTGCAAGTTACAAATCTTCCGCACATTGCCTGGGTTCTAGGTGGACCCAGCCTAAAATAGGTGTCAGAAAATGTTGTGGAAGGAAAAAAAAGATTGCATAGTTTTATATATAAGGGCTGCACCGAATATTTGCTTCGTATTGGACCTAATAACTATTCGGTATTTGGCCGAATAGTTGCGGTCGGGCCGAATATGAATAGTGGTTACCTTACACCCGTTTCTGGACTGGTGGAAAATATACATATCAAGATTTCCCACCTTGGTTCATACTGTCAAGCGTTTTCTTTGTGCACCACCTACGAGCGTACCAAGTGAACATCTGTTCAGTACAGCTGGAAATACCTTTAGTGAGACAAGAAGCTGCCTTAACGAAAAAGCTAATGCCGCTTTCATAGATTAACTTAGCTGTCAGTGACAATTTACAAGTTTAGTATAAAACTAAGAATACTTTCATTCCTAGGTATTAGTTACCACAGACTGACTGACTGAAGATGAAAAACATGAAATGTTTTTAAATGTATACTATTCTGTACTACATTTAGTGAAGTAAAATGTTAACGTACATTTGACGTTGTGGATATTTTTTTTTTTTTAATTTATTTTATACACGAAAGTGGAAGAATGGGCCTCAGTTTGAATAGTGGGAAGACAGAAGTAATGGTTGTATCAAAGAAAATAATTATTCCTAAATGTGTAATAAAAGTCAGTGGTTTTATTTTGGGACAAGTACAGAAATTTAAGTATCTGGGCACATGGATAACATCAGATTGAAGATGCATTACTAAAATAAGAAACAATAGGACAGGCAAAAACTGCATTTTATAAAATGAATACCATCTTATGCAATCTTTATCTTTGTCATTGAAGGTTAGAAAAAGAATTCTTGCTTGCTACATATAAAAAGTTTTAACATATGGCTTAAGTCCAGAACAATCGGTAGACAGGACAAACAATTTCTTGAGGCCTCAGAGATGTGGTTTTACAGAACAATGATTAAAATACGTTGGATAGCAAACAAAAAAAAAGCAACCAAGAGGTTTTGAAATAGGCGGGAGCTCGAAGATAACTACTCACAGACATCAGAAGGAGACGGTCATCATTTTTCAGCCATATTATAAGATGAGGGAAAATGGAACGTGGTGACCACTGGAAAGATGTGGAAGGAGGAATAGGGGAAGATAACGAGAGAAGATTCATGACAGTCTCATTGCATGGCATGGAGGTGTGTCAGGACAGGAACTGATACATGCTGCAGGAGATTGCAGATTGTGGCGAGGCATATCGCCCACGCCAGTCGGCAAGGCACCTGATGATGATGATTCACTATTCGTATTCGGCCGAATAGTTAGTCCAGCTATTCGTATGTGATTTTCACTATTTGGTTGAATACGAATAGCTGGAGTAACTATTCGGCCGAATACGAATAGTGAATCATCATCATCAGGTGCCTTGCCGTCTGGCATATGTATGTATGTATGTATGTATGTATGTATGTATGTATGTATGTATGTATGTATGTATGTATGTATGTATGTATGTATGTATGTATGTATGTATGTATGTATGTATCTATGTATATATCTATGTATGTATGTATGTATGGATATACAAATTTGTGCTGAAATGTGAATGATCATCATGTATTACTACGATATTTACAGTGTACTCTATTTAGGAAATTAGAATTTGAATTTCTTGGACCCTGGAATAAATTGATTTATAGATTCTATTATTTTTAATGGAGAAAATTGCCTTGGAACTCAAATGATTTGGAATCTGAACACTGTCTTGGAACGGATTATGTTTAAATTCCAAGGTACCTCTGTACGTTATTAACAGTAAGTACATTACATCTCAAAGTGTGGAAACAAAACAAATCCATTATTGTTGCCCCAAGAATGCTATTGTAGCAGTTACAGATTTTTGATGACAGGAAATCTTTAGGTAGCGGCCACTATGTCTGTATAACAGCTCTTGTACTGGTAGCAACTGCTTAGTGTGTATATGTGGTAGGTATGATTGTATCTAAAACAAAAAGGAAGAAATTTTCTGTTATTAGGGGTGAACAAATTAAACTTTGTATGTTGTATGTAATTGTACCCCACCATGATATTACACAAAGCTACAAACACCCGGTGATACAAAGTGCCACCACGCGGATGAGGATCACCCGTGAAAAGGTCCCAGAAACCCTGTTCAGCAATTAGGCCATATTTATTCCCCGGCTATGTTTAAGGCCCCCAGCAAAAGTTAGGGTGGGGCTTCAAAAAACCAAAAATTGCATCCTACAATGGAGACAGCATGATATGATTTTAACATTTGGCTGACTGACTTTCTACCCCACCAGGACATCACAAAAGCGATAAACACCCGATGACACAATGTGCCACCATGTGGGTGCAGATCACCGTGGAGAGGTCCCAGAAACCGCGTTCAGCCTTTAGGCCATATTTATGGCCAGGCTATATTGCAGCCTCTGGCAAGAGCCAAAGTAGGGCTTCAAATAACGAAAAATTGCATCCTAAAAAAGACTATCTTCTTTAAAAACTTTATTTTAACATTTGTGATCTCCAAAAACTTGTTTTCTTGTTGTAAATTTAAACAAGGCGGACAAAAATAATACATTGCCCCACTGATTGCCTGACATATTTGGCTGTATATCATCACTAGAATCACCTATGTTTAGTAAACAGAAAAATTGCATGCTTAATTTGAAGTAACCATGGTAAACACGTGACTGATTTTGACTTGCGGTGGAGAGATGTACAGCAACTCGACAATGTGGTTTATGCCTTTCAGCAAGAAAAGAATTAATTTTGTGCTTCACTATACGTTGATATACCTCTGTAGTAATGCATCTGACGAGATACAGTGAAATATGCAAGGGAATAAATTGTGCAATGTATTGTTTGTCTCCAAGTGATTTAAATTTATGATATCATCTTTTGTAATATGCATTTTATTATGGAGTCATTTTGTAAGCTAGAAAATTTTTTTCATCAGAGTCAAGGGGAAGGAAAGCAGTTAATTCTTTGTGCTTTTGTATTAGTGATTATATCCCTAGTGTAACATAATTATTTTGTTTACAAATGTGGATTTTAAAATATACAGTGGAACCTCGCTTAACGAGTATAATTCGTTCCAGAATCATACTCGTTAAGCGAAACACTCGTTATGCGAAACAATTTTTTTCTTATAAATTAATGTAAAATACGATAATGTGTTCCATGTCGAAAAATATACTCACAAAATGCTATGTATAACGTTTATTCAAAGAAAATTATATGCATACTGTTAAGGAGAGTAAATCTTCTTCATCTTTTTTTCAAACGTGGAACGAACCCACCTGGAATGTGAATTCGATTTGCAGAAGAAAAAAAAAGTCGAAATAATTATGATACATAGATAATTATTTAATTTTTTTTACTAGAAAGATGTCCAGAGACATTTGTTTTTGGCGACGCTTCATAATTTTGCGAAAATGCGACACAGCATTATTATTAGGGCTGTACCAAATAGTGATTTTCACTATTCGGCCGAATACGAATAGCTGGACCAACTATTCGGCCGAATACGAATACGAATAGTGAATCATCATCATCATTAGGTGCTTTGCCGACTGGCATGGGTGATTATGCCTCACCACAATCTGCGATCTCCTGCAGCATGTATTAGTTCGTGGGCTGATACACCGCCAATACTGTCAAGAATTTTCTCTCGTTGTCTTCCTCTATCCCTCCTTCCACAGATCTTTCCAATGGTCACAACATGTTCTATTTCCCCTCATCTTATAACATGGACGAAAAATAATGACTGTCTCCTTCTGATGTCTGTGAGTAGTTGTCTTCGGGCTCCCGCCTCTTTCAAAACCTCTTGATTGTTCTTTTTAGCTGTTCAAGGTAGTTTAAGCATTCTTCTGTAAAACCACATCTTTGAGGCCTCAAGAAATTGTTTGGCCTGCCTACCGATTGTCCAGGACTTACAGCCATATGTTAAAACTGGATGTATGTAGCAAGCAAGAATTCTTTTTCTTACCGTCAATGACAAAGATATACTGTATAATATGTTCTTCATTTTATAAAATGCAGTTTTTGCCTGTTCTATTCTGTTTCTCACTTCAGTAATGCATCTTCCATCTGATTTTATCCATGTGCCCAGATACTTAAATTTCTGTACTTGTCCCAAAATAAAACCACTTACTTTTATTACACATTTAGGAATAATCATTTTCTTTGATACCACTATTACTTCTGTCTTCCCACTATTCAAACTGAGGCCTATCCTTCCACTTTCGTGTATAAAATAGATCTAAAAAAATAATCCATAATGTCAAATGTACGCTGAAATTTTACTTCACAAAATGTAGTACAGAATAGTAAACATTTAAAAACATTTCATGTTTTGCATCCTTCAGTCAGTCAGTCTGTGGTAACTAATACCTAGGAATGAACGTATTCTTAGTTTTATAACAAGTAACTAAACTTGTAAATTGTCACTGACAGTTTAGTTAATCCATGAAAGCGGCATTAGCTTTCCAAAAAAAAAAAAAAAATAAACAAATCGTTCCATGTTGTCAGCATTAAGGCAGCTTCTTGTCTCACTGTAGATATTTCCATCTGTACTAAAAAGACGTTCACTTGGTACGCTTGTAGGTGGTGCACAAAGATAACGCTTGACAATATGAATCAAGGTGGGAAATCTTGATATGGTGATTTTCCACCAGTCCAGAGACGGTATAAGGTAACCACTATTCGTATTTGGCCCGACCGCAACTATTCGGCCAAATACCGAATAGTTATAAGGTCCACTATTCGGCCCCAAAGCGAATACGAAGCGAATATTCGGTACAGCCCTAATTATTATCAAATTAATTTGCAACGCCCATAGCCCCTTCCTTATTAGGGTGAGGCTTCTCCATGTAGGATACAACAGTTTGCCATGCTTTCAACATTTCTCTTTTTTTGCCAGAAGATTGTTGCTTTTCTGTTTTCTCCTCCTCCTCCAAACTTTCCTCCACAACTTCTTGCTGTGAAACACAATGCAACTCCATAAGCTCTTGGGAGGTCAGCTTTTTGCTCTACTCTTCCACAAGCTCTTCGATATCACGATTATCCACCTTCAATTCCATGATAGTGGCCAAAGACACAATCTCGTTGATTACAGGTTCCACAGGTACTGTCTCGAACCCCTTAAAGTCACAAATCGACAAAGCTCCCCGGCCAAAGCTTCTTCCAAGCAGAAGTTAGGCTTCTCTTGGTAACCCCTTCCCCCGCCTTGTCGATCATTATGAGGCAGGCAACGATGTGGAAGTGATTTTTCCAAAACTCTTTGAGAGTGGGGTTGGTCCCTTAAGTCACCTGAAAACAGTGCTCGAAGAGTGCTTTAGTGTAGAGCTTCTTAAAGTTAGAAATAACTTGTTGGTCCATTGGCTGGAGTAACAGAGTAGTGTTGGGAGGCAGAAACTGGATCTTGATGAACTTAAATTCTTCAGGGAGGTCATCTTGTAGGCCTGGAGGATTCATGTACATATATCACAATATAACACAAGTTTAAGACAATGTGTGATCACAAGCGACACTATGATGCTACTGGAACGAGTGCTAAAGACTGATGTAACTAACATGCGCACAATTGGAGACTTCCCCTCTCCTCGCCACTTGTTATGCGAAACGTCGCTCGTTAAGCAAGTCATTTTTTTACAATTTGTTTTGCTCGCTATGCGAATTACTCGTTATGCAAGGTTCTACTGTAAATAGTTATGGTAATCTTCTTGTCTATCTGCTCAGTGGTCATAAGTTTCAATCAACTGGATTTTATCAAATCTGACCACGACGCCAGATTTCTTCTGCTGCTTCTTCTAGTTTCTTTAAATATGGTTTCAAGACAAGTATTAGAATGCGCCATTAAAAAAAATTTGGTAAAAGGCCACTTTTTAACTCGCTGCAGCCCGAGCAATGCTGTGTGTGTTGACTGAGAAGTTCAGATTTGCCCAAACAACATGTCTGCATCAATTGTGTGTCCTTTACACACTTTACGGCTCTTTATTCATTTCTAATGTTTGGAACTACCATTAAAGTATTGAGGGAAGGCTACTATTGTGTTTTTCTTTGTAAACAAGTCTATGTTCACACACACACATGGGCGCAAATGGATCTGATTCGTTGCTAGCTTGATTTTTCAGGCGGTGCATTTTCTGATTTCGTGTTCCCATGGCCTTGGTTATCAATGAACCGAACTCAAACAAAGACCAAAAAAGGCACATTTCTGTGGCTGAAGCTCTGAAATTGTTTTAGTCAGATGTTTTCTAGTAATGAAAAATTGAAAAGTTTTTGGAAAGTGATTCGGACAGTAAATTTACACAGGATGGTAAATTTACACCAGCGGCAGCTGATCGGTTAGCTTTTAGATCCCGTTCAGATGATGTAAATCCAGAAGGACCTATTCCATTTGCAAAGAATGTAATAGTCACCAATATTTGTATCCAAAGGACTGATTCAGACAGTACCATACTCATACTATGGCTAAGCTGCACTGAAATCATTGTAGCCACAGTCGGTATATAACTACAAAGATAACATTTTATGTGTACAGGTCTTTAGGTCCAATTTTCTGCCATTTTATTTCTTTAAAATTGTTCAGCACTCTATGAGAACCTAGAGCCCCTGAGTGATAAACTGATCCAGAACATATCATAAATTTTGATTTTGTTAGGAAACTTTATAAAAAAAAAAAAAAAAAACAACCCGGTAAAGTTGTATTCTCAAATATGGATATTTCCTGCTCTTGTGACTGCAAAACCATGGTAAGTGAAGTTTTTTGGGTAAAATGTTGTGTTTGTAAACACAACCCCTGCTGAAATTCTGTTTCCCCCCTACTCAATATAACAGCATGAAACAAAAACATATGATCAGAGTCAAAATGTACATTCATTCCTCTTTAGAAACATTTATAATCTTGAAGGGATTAGAAAAGAAATATATTCTCAATTGCCTGTTTTGTTCTCCACTCCCTGTCATTTTTGTTAAGGAAAATTAATGAGAGCCAAGTCTGTCAAAATTCATGGGCCTGAAAGAGTTAGGGTTCTTCTGGGTAAAAGGGTTAACTTTTGTTCCTTTTTCTTTTATCTATCAGTGGAGCAAAGGACCTCAACCAATTGATATCAAGTGTCATGATAGTTTGCCAGCCTTCCTCATTTTATAAGTTCTAAAATATGGTCTATGATCCATGTTTTCTACACTGCAGTATTTCTAGTTTGGTAATATTCTTGCATTGATATATCTTTCTGAGAAATGCGTTTTTAAAGCACTTCAGATGATTTCCAACAGATATGGTCAGCTTTTGCCACATTTTTACCAGTTCTCAATATTTGTTGTTGTTGTTAGCTTAGTATTATATTTCTTTGATATTTTTCAGTTTCACTCTTAGAAAGAGCAAAAGCAAAATATGATTACTACCACAGTCTTGTTCTGGCATTTCTCCAGATGATTTCTGTGGGCCCCATTGTAGGAAAAAAAGGACAGACCCACTGCCTTCCTAGCAAGCATGTGGTTAGAGCCGACTAATTAGGGGTTTCTTTTAAAGTCTGAGTGCATCTGCCTGAGAGGCGAGGAACCAACAGTCTGCATTCAAATAAAATGGATGTGCAGGCAAAACTCAAGTTCTGGAAAAAGAGGTGGACGAACAAGCAGAATTTTCTGCATTTACAGCTGGTGAACATGAAGAAGAAGCTCCCACATTGATTTTGATAATCTATTGGCTTTTTAAAATCTTTCACCACACAATCTCTAGAAAAATTGGGTTATGGCCCCATGGAAAATCCTCAAATACTATGAGCTATGGAGTTTGTGCTATTTCAACACCTTCAAAAGACATCTGGCCATTATGCAGAGAGAGCTTAAGCCATATGGGATAAAACACAATTCACTGAAGCCAATCAATCCTGTAGACTTCAAAATATCTTTAAAAATATTCACCATAGAGAATGATCTTAGGGATCAAGATAAACTGCTTCTACCATTAAACATCATGGCGATGCAGTACATGCTGGCTGGCAGTGACTACTGTCATGCCGTGGAAGTGAAAAGTGATTTTAATGTTGTCATTCTATGTTTTCATGGCCAACCTCTTGCTCTTGTAGCTGATCTTCTGAGATGAGCCTGTTATGGTATCTGATATCACTGTATTTTAATTAGACGGCCAAACCACTTATCTGCTGTTTCTTGATTAATCTACTACAAGGTGTTGTTTTCTCTTGATCTGTCTCACAGTATCACATTATTCACTTGTTCACGGGTTGTTAGGTTGGCAGCTTTTCTCAGGCATCTCATTTGTCAAGTGGTGATTTTGTGTTATGAACTTTAGATAATGTCAATGTTTGGCACTGGCAGCTCAATGCTGGTATGAATATGCTGTTTACATCTTTTTTTTTTTTTTTTGCAATCACAGTCATGCTTGCATGTCTTAATAATGGTGAAAATTGGTTTATAAGTGCCCTTGCTTTCTGACATGTTATTTCTACTTCTTTGTGATTTAAGAGATAAGTAATGAAAATCAATAAAGATGGATAGTTACCAAGTACAGTAAGCAAAGCTCGTGAAGACTCAAAAGCTCCCAAAGAACCATATCCCACTCTGCAGTGGTACCAGCCTCTGTCCACCACCTTTACTGGTTGAAACTGCAGAACCATGCCTTTCTTAAGTATGTGATAGTTCTTACCTTTACGTGGCAACTTATGGCCATTGTGGAACCTGTAGAAAGAACACAGAAAAATCTGAAACAGCCACTGAATAACAAATGTTGACAGCAAAAATCAGACAGTCTACAGTAAAAATTGTTTGTTCATCACAAGTGACTTAGACCACTTAGCATCCAAAATATAGTACTGATCAATGACTGTGAATATGAACATGACTAAAGAGTCCAATCTAAGCCTGGAAAGTTTCTGAACAGCGTGAACAGCAAAATAACAGACAAGACACAATGACACATGATACAGTAAAAAGAAATACAACATATGACACAAGAGACAATCAATCTACCTGAAGGTCTATCTTTCTCTAGCCAACTGTCCAGTCCTGCGTACTTTCATACCCAATGTATTTTCAGTGTCATATATATACCTTTTTAGGTCGATCTCTGCTGAATTTTCCAGAAACGGCACCCTCCACCATCGTTCTATGTAGGCCACCACAGTGCTTGACATGGCCAAAATAGAGTTTTTGGGAAAGGGTGCTGTTATGAGCCAATTATCCCTAATGTTCAGGTCATGCAGGATGCCAAGGTCTTACTTCTTCTTGGTCCAGGGTATTCAAAGAATTTTTTGGTAGCATTTAATTTCAAAAGCTCCAATTTTTTTCTTCAAAAACTGAGTAAGAATCCATATCAACTATCATGGAAAGCATATTTGACTCCACTCGTCAAGAGTAAATAAAAAAAAAAAACATGATGAAGCCTTGATAAAACAAGGCACTAAATGCAACACACAAGGTTATTAGAAAGCTCAGTGGAGGTTTGGGGAAAAAAAACATGAAAAAAATACAACCGAAAATGTTGACCAATACCTTTATCAAGAGAGCACAAAATATACAATAAAACACAAACTTTGATTAGAAACTCAATGTATAAAAAAGAGCCACTAAACAGCCAAGTTAAACATGAAACTAAAAAAAATGTAATAAGAGAAAATATGGAATGAAGGGCTATATTACGGAACAAAATAAATAAGATGGCGCATGAAACAAATAAGAACAATACAAAGTTTAATAATAAAAAACGCTTGAAAAAAAACCCCACATAAATCTGTGCTGAATACTGATCCCTGCAGGACAGTGTATGCCAAAACAGTGAATGGAGCAGTTACTATAAAACAAGAGATGACATAAAATTACACAAGAAATGATACAAAAAAATCACACAAATCTGTGCTGAATAATGTTCCCTTGCAGGACAGTGTATGCCAAAACGGTAAATGAAGCAGTTACTATAAAACAAAAGATGACACAAAATTACAAAACATGAAATGATAAGACAAGTCACAACATGGCTGACATCTGAGTTTTTATACTTACCATTTAATCACATCAGGCTTTTCTCCAGACACGTTACATGTGTATGTGAAGTTCTGGTTCATTATGACTGTTGCATTCGTTGGTGCAGATATAAAGTGAAACTCTGCAGACAATACAGTAAGATGCAGGCATATATTTACATTAATAGAATCAAGTTTTATATTATACTTATGAAATAATCCAATACATACGAGTTCCTCACCATTATCCTGTGGTGCCTGTATATGCCACATGGGACTCACAATTTATTATTCTATTCTATTCTACCCTTAGCATTCTAATCAATATCATGGATGGAGTCAAATCAGGCACCTTTGGCCTTTCACATATAAGTTTATCTCAGGGTTACTTTTTGCCATTTTCATCTCATAACGGCAGCTGTTTTTCATTTACATGCCTGTTTGGTTATTCTCTGGTCACTTCACCTTAAGAGATTCCAAATATATTGCGCTCTTCTTCATTTATAACTGTTCCCCATGTAAGTTCCTGGGCCCTACTGTGGAGAGAACAAGAATAGACCTTCTTTATTTATAACTGTTTCCCATGTGAGTTCCCGGGCCCTACTGTGGAGAGAACAAAAATAGATCTTCTTTATTTATAACTGTTGCCCATGTGAGTTTCTGGGGCCCTACTGTGGAGAGAACAATAAAAGACCTTTATTTATAACTGTTCCCCATGTGAGTTCCTGAGCCCAACTGTGGAAAGAACAAGAATAGACGCTGTCTATTTATAACTGTTCCCCATGTGAGTTTCTGGGCCCTACTGTGGAGAGAACAAAAAAAGACCTTTATTTATAACTGTTCCCCATGTGAGTTCCCGAGTCCCACTGTGGAAAGAACAAGAATAGACGCTCTTTATTTATAACTGTTCCCCATGTGAGTTCCTGGGCCCTACTGTGGAGAGAACAAGAAAAGATGCTCTTTATTTATAACTGTTTCCCATTTGAGTACCTGGGCCCCACAGTGGAGAAAACAAGAATAGACCTTCTTTATTTATAACTGTTCCCCATGTGAGTTCCTGGGCCCTACCGTGGAGAGAACAAGAATAAACCTTCTGTATTTATAACTGTTCCCCTATGTGAGATCCTGGGCCCTACTGTTGAGAAAAGAAGAATAAACCTTCTGTATTTATAAATGTTTGTGAGTTCCTGGGCCCCACTGTGGAAAGAACAAGAATAGACGCTCTTTATTTATAACTGTTCCCCATGTGAATTCCTGGGCCCCACTGTGGAGAAAACAAGAATAAACCTTCTTTATTTATAACTGTTTGTGAGTTCCTGGGCCCTACTGTGGAGAGAACAAGAATAAACCTTCTTTATTTATAACTGTTTCCCATTTGAGTTTCTGAGCCCCACTGTGGAGAGAACAAGAATAAACCTTCTTTATTTATAACTGTTCCCTTTATGTGAGTTCCTGGGCCCTACTGTGGAGAAAAAAAGAATAAACCTTCTGTATTTATAACTGTTTCCCATGTGAGTTCCTGGGCCCTACTGTGGAAAGAACAAGAATAGACGCTCTTTATTTATAACTGTTCCCCTATGTGAGTTCCTGGGCACTACTGTGGAGAAAACAAGAAAAAACCTTCTGTATTTATAACTGTTTCCCATGTGAGTTCCTGAGCCCTACTGTGGAGAAAACAAGAATAAACCTTCTGTATTTATAACTGTTTGTGAGTTCCTGGGCCCTACTGTGGAGAGAATCAGAATAAACCTTCTTTATTTATAACTGTTTCCCATGTGAGTTCCTGAGCCCCGCTGTGGAGAGAACAAGAATAAACCTTCTTTATTTATAACTGTTTGTGAGTTCTTGGGACCCACTGTGGAGAGAACAAGAATAGACGCACTGCCACTCAAATAAGCATGTTGTGAGAGTCAACTAATTGGGGGTTTCCTTCTAAGTCAGAGTACATCTGGCTGAGAGGCAAGGAACCAACAGTCTGCATACAAATGATCTGTAAAATGGATGTGCACACAACACTTAGCTTCTGGAACAAGTCTTAAGTCCAGATGTAGCTGAACAACCAGAACTTTGTGCTGGAGTTTACAGCCGGTGAACGTAAAGAAGAAGAAAAATATAATTTTTACAAAAACATTTGTCTCTCTCCTTTCTTCAACTTTCTTGAATTTATTCCATTTAATGTTTATAAATTTTCTCAGACATATGTTTTTGAAATCAATAAACCGTGTATGTCTTTGCCTGTTCTCCAGCTTTCACTGGCGTATGTTAAAACTAAAATAACATCAGATGAATTAAATTTATGACTTGGTTTTAAAACTATACATTTTAGACTTCAATATTTGTTCATAATTTTCAAAGCTGCTATTGCCTTCCCAATAGTTATTTCCATGTAAAATACTTGGCAATAACAATTGTTACTTAAATATATAACAGATATATAACAGTTATACATTACTGTCATAAAAATAACTGCCAATTATAAGTTACCCTCACAGGTACATAAATAATTGCCCCAATTTTAAGTAATTGTCACAAACTCAAGTTATGGCTACAGACACAAACAACTGTCAATTGTATGTTACACAAACAGATATAAGTTACTCATACAAAATCTTTGACAAATTTTTTTTTCTTTCGCTGTCTTTTGATCTCTATAAATTGTTATTGCTCGCCTGTTGTACCCCACCAGGACAACACACAAGCAATAAACACTTGGTAATACAAAGTGCCACCATGCAAATGAGGATCACCCAAGGAGAGGTCCCAGAAATCCCCTGTCAGGCGTTACGGCCACATTTATGGCCCCCCCAAAAGCCAGGGTGGGGCTTCAAATAATGAAAAATTGCATCCCACATGGGGACGAATAAAGCATACGTTGAACTATAACTTCTTGTTCTTCATTTGTCCTTAAAAGGATAGCTGGCACATTGTGTTATGATTTACAGATTGGCTGTAACAATTTGCATTTCAACCAACCAAACAAACACAATTTCAGCAAATACATAATTAGTTACATTTTACAACATGGCTTATTAGGAAGCAGTGAGTCTATTCTTTTGTCCCCCAAAATGAAGCCCATAACACACAGGAAATGCTATTGCAAGTTTCCTTATTTTGTCTATGACAAACTTTTATGTCTGTAACACATTTCCTGCCGGCTCTGTGGCTAAGTCGATGTGAATGCTTCGTAATGCCGTGATGCCGGGTTCGATCCCAGCTGTGGGCCATGCGCCTTGTGTTGATTTGGACAGTGGTATCAAGAAAGCCGACCGCTAAGAAAGCAATGGCAAACTACTGGACGTAAATTTACCTAAAGAAACCACACAACAGCCAGGGGATGTTGGGGTTGGTTCTGCAACGTCCTGTAAAGGATATACGCAACTAACAAAAAAAAAAAAAAAAAAAAAAAACATTTCCTTCTATGGCTTTGAAAAGCTATCTGTTTGTGGCAGGAGAAAGTTTCCCCTCACTGTTTTTTTTTCTCCATTCAAGACAGGTCTATTGTTCCTTGATGGTGTCCACACACAAAAAAAGAAACTATAGTTATATTCCGAATTTGAGTACTTGCTGTGTTGGATCTGGGAGTGGGGAGGGGAGTAATGGAACATGGCCCCTTCAAATACATGCCGTGAAAGGTGACTAACTAGAAGTTATTAAAATCACAAGTGTTGGGCCGAAAGGTGCAGACATCACAGACCAGCTGAAGTCACAATACAGCATGTC